GAGACCACAACGCAAAGCACAAGCGCAACGTTGCCAAACGATCCGCAAGAAAAGACAAAGTTAAGTGGGTTCACGATCAATTGCTGGAGGACCCAAGCGCAGAACACAGAGGATTATGGAGCACAGTCCGTCGCCAGAAGACAGGCTTTAGAGGCAAAAAATCTCACCTTGTTGTGGATAATAAACCAGTCCCCTGGAGTAAGACTCACCAAGCCTTTCGAGACCACCTGCAGAATACCCAATGGGCGGTACACGAGGACGCCACAGAAAGATCAAAAGCCTTAAATTCAAAACGCGCACTACGCCCTCCTTCACCTGACGAGTCTCCCTTCTTACTTGAGGACCTCCAATCAGCGATCAACAAGCTCAGGAAGCGCAAGGCACCAGGACCAGACCAAACCGCCAACGAACTCTTTCTCCTCTTAGACGATGATAATCAAAAACTACTTCTAGAATTTTACAACAAGATATGGGACGTCGAGGAAGTTCCAGAAGAATGGAAAGAGGCCATAGTGGTATCAATCTACAAAGGCAAAGGCAAGGACCCTGACCCTGCCAATTATCGCCCCATCTCACTTCTCAACACAATCTACAAAATCTTCGCCGCAATGTTGCAAACCAGACTGGCCACAACTCACGAGAAGAACTTACGCAGTACACAGTATGGTTTCAGATCACACCGCGGAACGCAACAACCACTATTTGTTTTGAGACGATCAATGGAATGGGCGGAAATGACCAACAATCCCTTATATTACCTTTTTCTGGATTGGAAACAAGCATTCGACTCACTTGACCACAACGCCATGTTGATTGCTTTGCAGCGCTTCGGGTTGTCCAACAAATCTCTAGCAGTAATCTCCTCGATTTATAAGGATCCCACCTTTATCACCAAAGGAATTGACGACCACAACGCCAAAGGTAAGGTAGGAGCGGGAATTCGTCAGGGATGCCCCCTCAGCCCGTACTTGTTCATCATGGTACTTACAGTAATTTTGGAAGATGTTGATTGGGATCTGGCAAGTAGAGGAATAGCTAGGAATACTTGGTCGGCCACCCGCCCCACCTCCGATCTAGAGTATGCGGACGATACGCTTCTTATCGCCAGGACCACAACGCAACTCTCAGAAATCTTGCATTCGCTGGAAAGATGTTCTAGGCTCCACGGGATGCATTTGAATAAAGAAAAAACAGAACTTCTCGTGGATCCTCGAAGACCACAACCCAAACTTAATTTCGAAAACGGCGAAACAGTTCCGACCACAACGCAAATTAAGTACTTAGGATCGATGATAGCCTGGGAAAAACCTTTTGAAGCCGCGTTTTGACATAGAGCAGCGGTAGCAGAAACCAGCTACAAGAAACTCCGGCTTGTTTGGAACAGCTCCTTGCCTCGTAAGACCAAACTCCGCATATTCCAGTCTGTCTTTATCCCCACCTTAACCTACGGCCTCGACACCCTCACCCTCACAGACAAACAAATAGACAGAGTAGATGCCTACTACTTCCGATTCCTGCGACGAGTGGTTAATATCAAGGCATCATACTACTCCAGAATCTCTAACCAAACAGTTTGGAGAACAGCCAGCAACCCGAGAAAACCCTCAAGCTTCCTCCACAACGCCCAGCTTAAGCTCCTGCAGACACTCTACTCTAGCGACATTTCAGATCCATTCCACAATGTAGTGTTTACCGCTGCTTACAAGGATAGAATAGTCGTTACCGGCAGACGTAGAGGGATGAAAATGCCTTATTGGATCGAGATCACAACGCAAAGGCATTTTAAGAACCATTGGACCCAAAACCCTGGTAAAGGAATTCTAGGACCACACCTGGTATATGCCTCCATTAATCGAGACCTGAAGAGTTCCTTTGAGCGAGCGCCGAAGCGCGCTGCGGAAAAGCGCGCAGGGCACTAGCAAAAAACCCTAAACCCTAAACCCTAAACCCCTAAACCCCTAAACCCTAAACCCTAAACCCTAAATCCTAAATCCTAAACCCTAAACCCCTAAACCCTAAACCCTAAACCCCAAAACCCCCAAAAACCCCTGAATCCTCAACGGAGCTGCAGGAACCTCCTGGACGCAGTGAGGGAGCTGGAGGCCGATAATGATCTGGCTGAAAGGCTCGGGAAGGCCGGGACAAGGCTTTAGGGTTTAGGGGTTTAGGGGTTTATAGGGGTTTATAGGGGTTTATAGGGGTTTAGGGGTTTAGGGTTTAGGGGTTTAGGGTTTAGGGGTTTAGGGTTGTGAGAGGAAGGGGGGGGGTTAGGGCTCAGGGCTTGGTTTTTTCTGCTGCGCTTGCTTGGGCAGTTCTCCTTGGAGCAGCTGTTTCGTCTCCTTTCGCTTCGGAGGCTTGATCTCTTTCCTTGTTGCGGATCTTTCGGGCAGCCTTCTTCTCCTTATACCTTCCTGTCTTCGATGGGCATTCTCTTCTGTCCGCATCTTTCTTCCCTCTACTTAGAATCTACTTCTGTTCCACTTGCTGCTGGTGGGTCAGGTTTTGCAGCTTCCCCTGCGCTTGGCTTGGCCTGATCGGGAGAAGTCCGGAATCGCAGTGTTTCTCAGTCGGTGTGTCTTGTCTTCCTCGGCTTTGGGGCTTCGACATCTTCTGCTTCCTTTCGAATGTTGGCGCGAAAAGCCAAATTCCGAGGCAGACAGCTGCACAAATGCGATTCTCGTTGTCACAGATGCACCCATGTCTCGCGCCAAAAGTGATGCCACGTTGTCTTGCATGTGTCTTCTTGCATGTCGCCGTTGCCAACTGCTCGCTTGCTGGATCTTTATCTCTACCTGCACCATCTACACCAGCAACTTCGAAGTTGCACGGAATCTGTTTTTTGCTTCTCATTGCTGATACCTTCATTTCTCCCAATGCTTGTTCTTATCCTTCCAAGATCATTCGCCGTCATCATCATCATCATCATCATCATCATCATGACCATCATCGCCATCGTTTGCACGACCAGTATTATCGTCAACAGCAGTGCTTGACCGCAACATCCTCATCGGCATCGTCATCCCCGCCACCATAGAGCCAAACCCCAAAGCCGCCACCACTACGAAGCCCTTCAGCTGCCTATTTCGAGTCTCCAGGACTTCATGGCAGCATTCTTGAAGCAGCAGAAGCTCGTGCCACGGCCATGAAAAAACAGCTTTCTTTGCATGTCATCGCTGTCCATGCCCCCAAGACCACGGATTGCAAGAAAGGGCAAGTGTGATGCAGCAGGATCGTAGGGGTTTGGGTTCGTTGCTTCCAGTTCGGGTGTTCTTGTGATACTGCTTTACGCCCGAAATCCTACACCCCAGACCGTACCTGCTCGAATTGCACCGAAAGCCTCGGGTACTCAGGAATGGGCCGAGTTCATGGCGCACCTCTCCAGCTTTGAAATAGAGAGAACGGTGAACTGCTAGCCAGCTCCGCTTTAGGTTTTAGGATTTATGGTTTAGGGTCTAGACTGCCTGCCTCAACTGCGAATTGGCAGCGGGGTGTTCTGGTCGTTCTCAACTTAAGTTCTTCATTAGATGCAGGGCATTGGCGGCAGTGTAGGTTTCAGAGCTGAAGTCTTGCTTACTTATCTAGTTGCCCTGCGGCCTCTTCCAGTTGAATTTAGCAAGCCTGGGTCCCATCGATGCTAGATTTCCAGATTGTTTTGGTGTGTAGTGTAGTGTCTAGGGTTCAACATCCCTCTTGCATGGCCCCGCACTAGCTGCAACTGCTGGCAGTTCACGTAGTGTAGGTCGATCGAATGGATGCGAAAGCATCATCAAAGTGCCTGCGAGCTTAGATTGCATTTCGAGGCAAGGTCCACATTTGGCAAAGTTCATCCAGTTAGTAGCCACTTCCCATGATGTGTGCAGCATACGGTTCTCCGATTGAGTTGTTCTACCGATGGCAGCTTTCGCAGAGTTGCGCCGGAGCACAGCTTTTGTCCAGGATGTACTGCCGGAGTGAACGCTTGATTGAAGTGCTCCTGAGGTCACGCAGGTTCTTATCCTCGTTTGATTTCTATCGATTGGTCACTTTTCCGCTTCGCCGGAGGGGCAAGCACGTGGAGCCAGGCTACAGCATGAACGGGTTGCCGTAAATCCCAATCCCCGACAGCCGAAAAGGCGGAAACCACATTTCCTATCTTTTGCTGCCCACCACAGCCAGCCATCTCTACAGTGCGAGGCATTTGCTTAAGACCAGCATCGTCAGCAAAAAAGGAAGAAGCAGGCTCATGTTGCCTGCGGAGGATCTTTGTGAGTTGAGATCGCTTCGGCTATAGTAGGTCGGAGTGATGTCGCCGGCCTTGAGAGCCTGGAGTTTTGTAAGAAGCCCATAAGAGCGATTGAAGACAAAGCTGTGCATGGACTACCGGGCTCAAGGCTGCAAGAAAGTTCTTAGTAGAAGCTCAACTATGGCATTGTGATGACCAGAATGGGTGTTTTAGTCGTTATGCTCTGGGCAAGCGTGCTAGGTGTCTGGCAGTCACCGACGACCATTATTGTCTACATCATAAGCCAGGCTAGGGTGCTAAGAATTGCAGGAAGCAGCACTGGGCATGAGACCACGAAGAGATCATACGAAGCAGCCTGCAAGAGATATCAAGATAGCACATGAGCCGCTAAGAAAAAAACATGGTGGTTCAGCCCTGGCTCGCGCTCCAGCAAACTCCGTCCCTGCCTTACCTGATACACGTACTTTCGTAAACCGTATAAAGCTCCACAAACGGACATCGCTGTTGGACCGGTCTTGAAATGCCCGGAGAACTCGTGCATTGCTGCAACGTGGCACCGTGAGGTTACGTCTTTCGGCTACAGGCTCTCTCGTGTGTGCAGAACTGTCACTTCGCTGGCAGCACGCTGTAGTAGTGGAGTGTTCTCGGAAAGAAGGAACTCGGAATTTGTCATGACTTCCTCTTCGACACCAAGACAGTGCAAGTGAAATTCAGATGATCTGTGAAATGTTCCCGAAAAAACAATGCAGGCCTCGGAGCTTGAGGGGTCTCTGTCAAGATGGCCAGCGAGACTTGTTTGACATGCCTGGATCCCTGCTGTTTTCGGGTATGAGATGCGCACATCGGGACAACTCGAAGTCGTGTTAGGGTTTAGTGTTTGGGGTTGGTGATAGGGAGCGGGAGGGGGAGGGGTGGGGAGGGTTGCATGGAAACCAGCGCAAAATCGCATCTGAAACCCTAAACACCAGACAACTTCAAGCTTTTGAACTTAACTCCGCGCCTGCACTTCGCGCCAGGTCCAGCTTAAGAAGGCTAGCGGGTTTGAGTTGGGGCTTTCTGTCTCAGGGTCTCTTCCGGGACGGCGGTTGAAAGTGCAGGCAGGGTTGTTGTTAAGGAACTTTGTTTACGTTACTTATAACGTGGTAAATAGTATGGTATCCTTGTAAGCCCTATGCCCTAACCCCCAAACCCTGAAACCCTGAACTTAAGCCCCACACCCTAAACCTAGGGTGTGCCAGGACGACTCTCCCCTGCTAACGCCAGAGGCTGGGGCCGCAGTGGAATATGGGGGCTTAAGTAATTTCAATACCATTTGTGGGGCTCATTCTTGTGTTTATGGTATCATATACCCCAAAGCCTTGTTCGGACTATCAGGGCCCCCATATTACATGGGCTTCGTGCTGAAAGCATGGAGGCTTTCGCATTTACGGTTTTAGGGGTGTTTGGGGTTTAAGGCTTTAGGGGTTTGGTGGTTTAGGGTTCGGGTTTTTAGGGTTCCTCCTACTTTCCCGAATTGGGGCCCTTTGGGGGCCGTTGGCTCAGGGCCCGAGAGGCCCACATCGGCAGTATGCTCGTCTCCCTCAGCCGCTGTTCCATCCAGACGCTTGATCATCGCAAAAAGAGTAACAAGCATAGTAGTAGTGGTAGTAATGGCAATAGTACCCCTTCAGAGCTATTTAAGCCTTTAGACTTGACCTGAGCCCTCTCACCTCGTCTCGCCCGCAGCGCGCTGCTCTGCGAGCGCCTTCTGCAGTCCCCGTTGCGGCCCAGTCGAACGGAAAGCGATCCAGGCATGACAATTCAACAGGTCTTGGGGTGCTGCCTGCAAGTTTTCAGAATCTTGCGTTTGCGGCAGAGTCGAAATCTGAGCATCGCTTAAAGCTCACGAGTAGTTCTCCCCAACACTCCAGACCCTAAGCCCCTACACTCTCAACAGCCTAAACGCAACTTTTGATGCCCACGAGCTCTTTCTCCCAAGTGTGACACTTCCTGCATGGATGCTTGGCTATGGGATTTGCATGCACATCATGAAGTCTATCAGGGCCGACATACTTGGGGGGGCATTGTGTCTGGAGACTGAGTAGACTTTCATTTCGGAGTTCAATCATTCACTCCGCTTCCCAGCGTCGAGGGTCCTGTAAATCTTAAACCCCTCATGTAAAATTAAAGCCTGAGTTTTCCGTTTCTTCCTGAGTTTGTCTTCAGATTCGGTTTGGGAGTTCTTCGGATTCGGAGTAGGGCATCCGCGTAGCTTTTGGAGCAGCAAGAGACAAGACTGCGATTCGTATGCTACCTTAACCCATACCCGGAAGACCCACAGAGGCATAGACCTTAAAGTCATCCGAATCCTAAATCTCTACAACTGGCGTCTCTCATAAAGTCTAGAAGCTGTTTTGTTGCTATCTCAAGTATAGTATCGTAGTTTAAACAAGTGGGATACACGAATCACACTCCTCATTAGCTTGGGGGCTGCTTTGGTTTGTTCTCTCCTGTGGAGGCCCGGGGAAGAGACGCCGCTTCCTACGCCCTCACCCTTCGTGATGCCCGGTTTCGGCCCACCACCTCAGCCGCGGAGGTTTGGGGTCCAGGTCTTATTGATGCAAGCTCTTGGTTTAGGGGTTTCAGGGTTCCAGAGCTCAAGATGTACTGATTCTTGGTTTAGGGTTTCAGAGTTTAGATTGTACGGATTTATGGCTTAGGGTTTGAGAGTTTAGACTGTGCGGAGGGCTTGGGGTATATGCGATTTTTCTTTCGAATGCCGCGGATGCACTCCAGGTTGTGTCTTGACAGAAGCCACTCCTGAAACCCATACCCGCCGAGCCGAAACCATCCGCATTTTCTCTACCATCAGGCTTGCGATCACTACCATTGCTTTGGCTGCAATTTAAACTCTGGGTTTACGATGGTATTACTACCGCTCCATCATCGAAATTCTCCATGAGGTGCATCTCCCGCCGCGGAGAAGTATCGAAAGATCGAAAAGGCTGCCGTGATTTGGGGCTTAGGGTCCAGGGATACAGGGTTTAGGGTTCTGATTTGGGGCTTGAGCTTCAATCACAAATATATGTCCCTTAACCCTAACGCCCTAAGCCCCACACCCTAGAGGCTCCCCGTCGTTAACTATTCTCGACGTCGGAACTGGCGCTGCGCGGATTTGTCAGGACTTTAGGGTTGCGATGCGATCTTTGCGGACTTGCCGGCTCTGGGATCTCTTGAGACTACAGGATTTGTCGGACTCGTCGTACTTCTCTTTCAGCTAAACAGTTAAATCCTGAACCCCGAAACAAATCGGCTCGGCTTCGAAAGCAACATTGGCTTCGTGAGGTGCGAATGAGAGTTTCAGACCACAGGCACCTTCATCTGCGCCTATTTATTGGAGGATCCGTAATACAAGGGACAAGGACGCCGGAAAAGGGACCCTACTTTTCTGAAGCCCCACTAGAAGAAAAGCAGCAGTTGGCATATCAATGAGGCCGCCCGAACCCTTTTTTCCCAGACCCTCTGACGCACATTAAACCTTCGTGACACCACAAGACTGCCTCATGGGCTTTTCCACTAGGTCGGCGTGGGCGCCTATGGAAGTGCCGGGCACCTGGCTCCGCGACACCACATATCCTTAAATAAGTTGCGTGCGAGCGCGTGTGCATGCGTGTGTGTGAGTGTGTGTGCAGAATGCTGGGAGAATTTCTGGTATGTGCCATTATAATGGCATGATTGCATCACTGTGTGCGACGACGTGGCCTCCTTTGCCAAGCACCAGGTTTTCAAAGCGGAGAACACTGAAACAAAAGAGATCGTTGCGATCAAAGCAGCGCCGCGTCCTGAGCAAGCAGATGCAGAGGAGCCACCATATAACAAAGTAAGTACCGTAAAGTACAATATAGTTCGGTCTGGCATACATTTCAATATTTGTAGTCTGTTATACCATAGTTGTAGTTGTACCATGCATTTGTTATGACAGGCCTGGGAAGCAAGAGCGAGAATTGAGAAGCACCATTTCTCATTCCTCAGGTCGAGGAAAGAAGACCCTGTTTGGGGCGGCTTTCCTCTTAGTCTGCTGCTGGGTGCTCAGTTTCGCTTTTCGTTACCGATTGTCGAGTCTTTCAGTTTCACCGGCTCACAACCCCAAACCATGAGCCACGAGGTGGGCGGGAGGGGGGGGGGTCGTGGGCAGCGTCAGGGCCTCTTGTTGTGTCTACCTGCACTTCATTAACAAATCCGACATCCAAGACGCACGTGATCTTTCTGCAAGCTTCACACGAGCTTCAAAAGATCAGCCTGCAAGCTCTCGAACCCTCGAACAATTCAGTGAGAGCTCAGCTTCTGAAACTCAACTGCGAAGGACTTCACTCAATAAGCCCGGTTTAGGGTTCACGGGTTTCGGAGCTCTAAATCAGCGCCCACATGAAGCCCACTCAGGCGGGAGATCAGCATCTTAAGGAGCGTCCGGCACGAGAACATCGCGCCCTCAGCTTTCCTTCTGGGGCGGGGGTTCCTTGCAAGCAGGCTCGGGGGCCTCAGGGGTTGAATTTGATGCTTTGGGGTTGGGATTGGCCACCAGGTTTGCTTAGGATTTAGAAGGTGCAATGTCGGAGGAATACGGAAGTCTCAGGGCTTCTGGGTGTTCTTAGCCTGAAATCAGTCGGCTCCCGAATCCTTGGGCTGTAAGCCCCGGAATCCGGCGCTGAAGCCGCAAAACCCCATGCTTTAAATTCCCGATGTCCCCATAAAAAGTTTCAATCCTAGTCCTGGAATCCTTAAAGCCCTACAGTCCCAAGAAGCCTCGCACCCTAAACGTCCAGAGAGGTACAGATGCACGAGATTGCGCACACCACGGGAGGGGATCCCTTGATCGTTATGGAGTTTTGTGTTCACCTCAGATGGGTCTGATTGGGCCTGTGCGGTAGTCTCAGGGAGATGAAGTGGGACCTTTCGAGGCGTGGGGGTTTCGTGCTTTGGCCTTTTCGAAACCAGGGCTTAAGGGTTGCGGGGTTGGGCATTTCCTGCAAGGATCGAGTTTAGGGCTGGTAGGCCCCGGCTGTTTGGGATTGGGGTGTAGTTTTGGGCATGGGGCTTTAAGACTTTAAGGTGTGGAATTCTCGGGTTTAGGGCTTCGGGGTATTAGGGTTTAGGTTTGGGGTAAAGGATTTCCGTTCTGCATGCACGGATGTACATGTCATGGACATTCCGACTGAACCTTTGAGGGCCTAGTCCAACCACAAGCCCCAAACGACAGAAACCTTACTTCCTAAATCCGACATCAAGACATCAAAATGTCGATCCTTGAAATATCAGACTTTCCGAACCCTACTGGCCGACATATGTCGCCCAGCATATAACCCGATATACTTTCCAGGTTGCGACTCTTACATTCGTTCAGTTTGGGGTTTGTTAGAGCCGACACGCAAACCTGACCCTAGATCCCGCAAGCACGTCCCAAATCCTAATCCTAAACTTATTAAACCTTCCACAAAAGACCCGAGAAAAGTTAAGAGCTTGGAGCGAGGGTGTAGGGTTTAGGGTATTGGGACCCTTGGCATGGGGAATATCATTGCTACAAGCAGTGGCTATTTGTGTCTTGAGGTGCTGTAGTACTTCGGTACTTCTGCTGGCTGAGGTTGTTCCTGCCACCCCTCCCCCTCCACGAATTGAATTGGTGGAACCAATACGTCAAGACAGTTTAACGCCAATGTGTAGCCTCAGCTTCTTCGAACGATGAAAGGCTCACCACATGCCATGATGGCTAGGATCGGTCCATCAGGGATTTACATTCAATGCCTGAAATTCCCGGAAGGCATCGGGAGAAATCTCACGGGATTCTGACTCCAATTGAAGCCGTGCTCTTTGACGTAGCACTGCTCCACTCATGTCTTCATAACCTACGAATTCAGTGCCGTCGTTCCCAAAACCCCTTGCCAACCTTCGCAATGCCTCGCACCTTGTCCTGCAAGCGAGGTCAGGCGTCACTCCTAGAATTAATCCACTCGCCGAAGCACGACCTGTCCTTCAGCGAGATCAAGTACATTATTCGGCAGGCAGGTTGTAGGATTTTGAACTGAGGGTGCTTTGCAGCGGACAGCCACTTCGGAATACCGACTCACATATGTATATGTGACTCAGGAAATCCATTTCTGCAGCCAAGCCTTGCGATAATTCTAGCCTTACAACCAGGCTTTGCGAGCCCCCGAACCGTACAAGTCATACTAGTCAAAAGTGCGTTGCATTTAAACACATGCGAAGATCGTCTCCTGGTGATCGCAAGCAGGTCCTGGACGCCACTGGCCACCTTCACCAACGAGGCCTGGCTGTGCCCGCGTGGGCCACATTGTGTTTGTAGGAGTTTAGGGTTCATGTGTTTTTGGCTTGAGGGCGCCGGGCTGTCATGCTTCCTGAAGCCAGGGAAGCACTTGCTGTCACTGCTTCAACTCACCTGCGGCCCGGCGAAGGGAACCATACCCAATTTATAGGAAGCCCAAACCTTACTTCATCAATCTCAAACCTTAATCTCCAAGCGGAAGCTAGAACTTTTACACCAGCTTTAGACAGACCCCTCGAGCCCGTAGAAACCACCAAGGCCCCCACACTCTAAACCATAAGCCCTAAGACCCTGCAACGTAAAATCCTAAACAGACCCCCCATAAGCCGAGCCTCAGAGGCATTTTGCACCGTGATCTGGCCACGAAGAACGTCTTGTTGATCGCTCAGAGTTTCTGTTTTTGTGTTTATCACTTCTTTTCCGTCAGCAGAGTACAACCTTTAGACGGCCATGTCACAGTTTCACAGTTCAGGTCTGGAGGCGGATGTCTGGGGGAGTCCCAGCCATAGTATACGACTGAATCCTTGCACCAAGTCTTAAACCCTAAACCCCCCCAATCGCAAGCACACCAGCCACTCTTCACGTAGCACACTGTCGGAAACGCTCCTCGAGTCAGAATGCTGAAGATGTTTGGTGTCGAGTTTAGCTTCCGGGGCGTAAGCGTCAGCCACTTTGCAGCGTAGACACACTGACCAATGATCTTCACCCGTACTTGTTCAACCCCGTTGCGTGCGCGGCGCTGTTCGCTTTGGCGAAATTTTGCAGCTTAGGGTTCCCATCATTTCGTATCCGCACACCTGACACCCTGAGCACTGAACCTTACATCCCAAACAAAAAACCGCAAGCCCTACTTGCTCAACCCTGCATGTGACATGACCCCGGCTTCGAGTTACCGGACTTGAACTGCGCCCCAAGACTCCCGCGGCGATACAATCATCTCCCAAGCCCCGTCAAACAAACCGAACGAAGCCTAGCATTAGGGAGACCCTTTGAAGGGGACCCTTGTTCACCCTACTTTCCGACCAGATCAGCAAACGGACTCCGACTAGGGATGTTTTAAAGTTCTGAATGCAAGGAAACGCCACCGCATTCCCAAGGGTCCCCCTAATCCTGGCGCTTACACAGCGAGGTTTAACACTTCTGGGGAAATCAAAGTCTGCGACTTTGGGATCTCCCGCGTTGCTTTCGGCCAGGCCTTGCGCGATGGAGAGAGAGAGAGAGAGTAGGTTGACTAACCTGCTACTGGCTGCGTGCAAGCAAGAGAGAGAGAGAGAGAGAGAGAGAGAGAGAGAGAGAGAGAGAGAGAGAGAGACTTCCATGGGAGTGATTCGGGAAAAGCAGGTTTGGGTTTCAGGGTTTGGGGTTTATTAGGATGTGGTGTTTTGGCTTCGGGGGTTTAGAGGACTTTAGGGTTTAGGGGACTTGAGGGTTTAGCGGAAGTTCCGGGTCTTTGTTTTTTTAGCAAGGCCGCAGCCAAGATCGTAATGAATGGCGCTGGCTGGATCGGGACGGCTCCAACTCCGGAAACCTCGACATCTCTAGCGTCCCTGAAGCTCTGTAGCCTGACTGCGCCAAACCCCTGGACCCTGAAACACAATGTGCAAACAGTAGCAATAGCAATAGCAATAAACAGTGTTAGAAATATTGGTTAGAATAATCATCATAATCAGGTTCAGAACCAGGATGTAGCTCGAGTTGATAAGCCTGGTAATGGCTTTGCCGAGTGCCTACGAAGTCGACCCTTCCGTGACACGAACATCTCGAGCATGCTGCAGGCAAGGAAAGTGGCAACGAACGTGCTTGAGTTGAGTAATGTGTGGAACGAAGATTAAGACTTGAATCACCTTATGGCCTCTTGTAGTCCGTATATGACCATACGTCATACCACGATAACCTAAACCTTTAACCGTAAACACTCTACCAAAAAACACAAAACTCTACTCAAATTCAGACATTACGGCCTGCTCGTCCGACCATTGTGTAGGACGACAACTTCGGCTTCGTCTCGGCCAAGGTGCAGATGCTGGCGACACTTTGGGGTTCAGGAGTTTAGGCTTCGGGTCTAAGGTTTTAGGGCGTGGGAGTTTGGAGTTTAGGGTTTTAGGGTTAAGGCTTTAGGGTAGGAGTTTAGGGTTTCAGGGTTTCGGATGTCAGGACGAATCACAGAAGTTGACAGACTCATCCCCCTTGAATTCTAGAGTCGGGCTTTCAATCCCTCAGTTGCTAAGCCTTGAACTCTAGACTTTGTGAAAGAAAAAAGCGCAGAGCAGGGGCTGGAGCCTCCCATGATGATCGTCTCGCTGCCCTACCGCCGAAATCTCAGAGCTTGATTTAGGGCTTAAGGGTTTAGGGTTCAATTTGGGGGTTTCGGCAAAGTCTCCGAGGGCGTTGCAAACCTGACCCGTGTGATGAAAAGTTAGTTTGAATTCGATCGGGAACCAGGGCTCTAGAATTGTAACCATGCGTTACACCAGCAGTAGAACTAAGAATGAAAGATGCCAAGTTGAGCGCCGTTCTGCTCATCAGATCGTCCTGCGATCTGTCTTCGTTATCGCACGGGGCTGAGGTGCCATCGAGTTGCTGATGGGCGAGCCTCGCTTGCAACAAGGTAGCTGCACTCACTGCATTGATTGCGTGCAAGCTTCAGAATGCTCCTGAGACTGTCACACAAGTCGCTCGCTGCCTCCGAGCATAGTCATGTACTGAGATATTTAGTTTGAACCCGTGATGTTCCTTGTTTGACCTGCTGCCCTTCATCTGCCCGCGGCCCCCTGAGACGCGCGCACTTAATGGAGAGTTTGTTGGATGATTAGGCTGACACATTCGGTGGAAGGCTTTCCTATCTAAGTTGCACCAGGCAGCACGGACGCCCCGCACGCTGCAAGCTGAGGACAGGCACTACGGCCCTGGTTTGGATATTTGGTCCGTTGGGTGCATCTTGGCAGAGCCAGCTCCCCAATGTCTCGCAAGACTGCTCATACTCGCGTTGCGTGGTCCTTCTGACACGGAGTGACTTACTGAAACTGGTCAAGGATTCTCCTTTGCCAGACTGGTCGGCGGCAGCCGTTCTTTGGGGGTGATCCGGAAAGTCCCAACAAGCCGCGGCCTCAAGATAGTATATGTAGGATTGGTTCATTTATGCACTTCCTCGTGTACTTCTTCAGCAGTTTGTGGATTCGTATTCGTGCATGTACATCGGCCAACATCGAACATCTACCTATCCATCTATCTATCCATCTATGGATCTGCCTGTCTATCTAGCTAGTTGTCTATTCATCCATCCAATGCCTAGCTACCCACCCACCTGCCTACTACAAACCTACCTATCTATCGGAATCTCTCGACCTTCCCCCTTTATCTTATCTGTTCGCCCATCCATCCATCCATCCATCCCTCCCTCCATGCTTTCGTCTATCTGTCTTGAGCTGCCTCTCTGTTCGTCTGTCTGTCTGTCTGTCTGTCTGTCTGTCTGTCCGTCTGCGTGCGTGTCTTCCTATATATCCATCTATCTATCTATGTCGGTCCATGGCATGTGACGGTACATATGAGTGCATGCATAAATACTTCAGTACATATACACCTATATATCCTGTCATACATATATATATATATATATACATATTCACATATGCATATGCCTTCTGTCTATGATTCGGACTGCTGCACGTCGCGCAAAGGACCGTCCTGGCCTACGTTGAAGAGATTTTCTACATTATGGGCAAACCCACGGATGAGTTGCGCACTTACAGGGAAACTGACAGTTTCTGCATGTCGGGCTTCCTTCATCTGTCCAGACTTAGGAACTGAGGCCTTTTACCTGCAGGGGTGACACAAACCCGTGCTGAGGACGTGGCCGGGACTTTGTAAGCTACCGAACTACAAAACCTACGTGTCCGGCAAGGCAACGGGAGTTAGATCTGCCCAGAGCTTTGCTGCGAAGCACTGACTGACGGCGTGATGCCACATTCGGGTAAAGTGGTATCTTTGGGTTCTGTATCTGTCTGTGTTAGTGTTTGTATAAATATATAAATAAATAAATACATATACATACACATGTATTTATATATGTATATATGTATGTTTTAGTATGTTACGTATGTGTATGGTGTGTGTATATATATATGTGTATACACATACACATACAGTATGCGTGCATACCTTTTCTTATGTGGTTGCTCATTTTCGCTTTCCTGATTTACTTATCCAGCTTGTGCCGTGCCTTGTCGCAGATTTCCAGCGCCAAAGCGCACAAAGAGCAGGGGGATGAGCACGGGCCCAAGTACTGGGCGAGTATACATTCGAGGTAACAGTAAGAGGTTTGTAGTGCTTCACATGGGGCTTTTTAGGGTATAATATCGAAGCCTGCAGATAGACAATGCTATGCTTAGGATTCCTGCATGTGTCGTTACAGTATACACACCCCCAAAACCCCAGTCTAATCATTCAGGCGTTAGTTTGAAGGTATGTACGGCAGCATCATTTGTTCGTTCTGTTGGGATCCAAACCGACGCTGCATAATCAGCTATCGTTGCCCTGTAGCAACTCCTGAAGCTTAAGGCTCACACCTTCAAGGCAGAGGCCAAAGAGCCATAAAATCGAAATCCTTACCTTCTTCAGTAGGGGTACGAATGAACCCATAAACCCCTGCCTGCCTGAAGCTCCGCACCAAAGACGCTGGAAGAACCTTCAGATCACGACCATGAGCACAAGATCCGGAAGGTTCGATTCCTTGCAATCCAAAAATGAAGCGGTACACTGAAAAAGTTGATCTCCTGCTCCTCCTCCTTTCCATCCCCCTAGAAAGTCTGTTAACCTAGGGGGGGCTTAATAATTGTCTACACTATTTTCGGCATCCCTCATTATATAATTAGTTATAGTATAACATACCCCGAAACCCTATTCTAAAGATTAAGGCCCCTCCTATATTAACAACCGAAGCTCCTCAACTCCGCAGACGCGGCTTCCTCCGACGCTTCTTCCGCAACGGAATTGGCAAACCCGCGGACTCCAAGTGAGCCTTCCGGGACTACAATTTGGTGTTTAGATCTTAGTAGAGTTTAGGGTTTCGGGTTTAGTACAGTTTAGGGTTGACAGAGTTCAGTTTTTTGAGTTTAGGGTTTAGGGCTTATAGAGTTTAGGGATTAGGGGTTTAGTAGAGTTAAGGGTTTAGGATTTGTAGAGTTTAGGTTCAGGGCTTACAGAGTTTAGTGTATAGGGCTTATAGAGTTTAGTGTTTAGGCTTTACGGTCTGTAGTTTTTTTTGTGGTTTAGGGCTCATAGAGTTCAGTGTTTAGGGTTTATAGAGTTTAGTGTGCAGGGGGTTTTGGAGTTTAGGGTTTAGGGCTAGCAGTAGTTGTCGTAACCAGAGTCGTTTTCAAGGAGAAGGCCGCCGCTATGTCTTTTTAAGTCGGGCGCGGCACGTTGCCTGCGCAAATCTTGTGCAACAGGAGCTTGCGCATCAATCTTGATCTTTTTCGGTTGGGGCTTCGAGCTGTTGGCAGAGGAGCCAACTAGGTCGCAACCGGAGGCCAACCTTCGAATGAACTCTCGCTTTTTATGTGAAACGGTTAAGGGATCACTTTTTCGGCGTTGAGGCGACAAGGCTTTCTGCATCTTTAGGGTCCTTGAGAGCCCAATACACTCCAGCCGAAACCTCAAAGCCCTGAACCCATCGACGAAGATCCAACACTACGTTTGCGAAGCTCTTTCAGCCTCGAGCCCTTCACCTTGACCCCTGATCCCTAAACTGCAAAGCTGCTAAGCTTAAACTGTCGAATAGGTACTGCCTGACAGAGAGCTTCTTCGAGATGCTCGGCGGTTTGCTCTCGCCGAATCCCCAGTTTTTGCATGGGTTGTATAGGGATTCCATATGGGTTGGAGGGGCTTCAGGCGTTTCTGGCTCAGGATTTCAAGTCTTGGAATAGGGGTGAACCATCGTCTACCCGGGACCCTAGAACCGTAGATGTTGGTACTGTGATTGCTGCCAAACAAAGACCTTCTTTGTGGGTACTGCACGTGCGAAGCATTTAGTCTCCTTGATATCCTCAATCACCATGATCTAAACCCTAAATCCTAAACCCTAAACCTCGTGAAACGTCGGACATGGACCCAAGCGAGGCTTTGCCCAAAGCATCGCGTGACAGCCGCCGCGCGCTTGGTGGGCTTAGGGTGTTGCAGGTTTAGGTCCAAGGGTAAAAGGAGGGACCCTTAATAAGAACCCCTAGGTATATACCCTTAATATAGCCATGATATACCCATTTTATAGCCCATTATAGGGTGGGGGTCCCCTTTAAGGGTCCTTCCTTTTCCCGGTTTCATTAGGGCTTGGGGGCGGCCTTGAGGAGTCCCGGGTTGAGGGAGTTTAGGGCTTTTGAGATCCCAGGGTCTGGTTTCTGGTGGCCTAAGGCCCATCAACCCAAAGCCCCTAAACCCCAAAGTCCCCTAAACCCAAAGCCCCTAAACCCTCAACCCAATGCCCCTATTCTAAACCTAAACCCAAAGCACCTCTAAACCCAAAGCCCCTCTAGACCCAAAGCCCCCAAACTCTAAGCCCTACGCCCTAGCGGCAGCCCCACGTTGAGGCGGAGGCCCTGCAGCATCCGTTCTTCACCAAGGCGCCCCGGATCGGAGCTCGCAGCCTGAACATTCTGCGCTCGAAAAGGGTTGAGGGTTTCGGGTTTTGGGCTGGGGATTAGGGTTTCGGGTTTAGGAGTTTAGGGTTTAGGGCTCTTGTAGAGGGGCTCGAAAAGGGTTGAGGGGTTGAGGGTTTAGTGCTTTGGGGATGAGGGTTTTGGGATTAGGGTTTCGGGTATCGGAGTTTAGGGTTTAGGGCTCTTGTAGGGGGGGTTGTGAGGCTCGTATGGGGCGATTTTAGGTATATTTTGTCAGGTTGACCACCTCTCCAATCTGAAACCACCCTTGATTGCTTTTCAGAAGTCTTGCCGTTGCAGTCGCAGGTGATGCAATCCATAGCCGATTGATCCGGTAGCTCTTGTAGGTCTATTATAGGGCTCTTGTAGAGGATGACAGGGGTCTTAGAGTCTTATAGGGGTGTGAAAGGGCCAAAGGGCGTCACGAGGCTTCGTAGAGTTTTGTTTCGGGTTCTTGCATGGCGAAGTAGTTTAAGCCAGTGGAGGTCGGCCAGAGGCCATCGGAGGTGGTACAAAAGTGCTCAAAAACTCGTAGACTCAAACGAATTCCCTTAGGAGCGGCGGAGCATAGTGGGGGGCGAATACCCTGAGCCCGAAGATTCCGAAAGGAATCCCAACCAGCCAAAACTAAGGTTTGCATGAAGCTTAAACAACCACGACCTTCAGGAAAAGCCGGTGCCAGAATGGCACGCTTGGCATTGGGCCTTGGCCAGCGCCGACATCCCCCGGGGTGCCAGGGCCCTGGCGTTTGTAGTTTTAGGGTTCAGGGTTTGTGGCTTTAGGCATGCTGCGAGTTGTTATGCTGTCATGATTGTTTTGTTGGCGCAATAGGTTGTGGAGTTGTGGTTTTAGGGAGGGTTAAGGATTTGCATTGTCTTGGAGCTCGGCGGGGTCATTTCCCAGTTGATCTCACGCCCGCACCCTGACCCCCAACCCTGCGCTTTTAATTACGCCACTTCTGAAACAGTATCCTAAAACCCACCTCACACCCCTGAACCCAACTCATAACCAATAACCAATATTCAAGCTTATCCATTCTACCTCAGCTTTCACCCAAAACGTTTGCCATAACACTAACTGCGAGCCTCAAGCCCCACAACGGAGCTCGAAGCATCCTTACACGAACACGACAAAGACTGCGAAGCCTGACGCGGAGCTCTAATAAACCGAGCTTAGCTGCGCTGAAGGATGAAGCTCGGAAGAAGAACAACGACCAGGATGAGGCTTGCAAACTGTCGGATTTGGCTGAGGGCGCGGGGTTCACGGTTTGGGTGTAGTTTCGCATTTTGGAGGGTTGTGGGGCGGCATGTTCTGGGGATCGGAGCTTCGGAACCCCCACAAGCCAGGTCCACTTTAAAACAATCGGCCATGATAATGAGAATGGCTGAAACAGCAAGTTTCTGTGTTTCCGTATGAATTCATGTGTGTTGTGTGCCTCTTGATGTATATACATAAGTACATGGATAGATAGATCTAGATACAGATAGATAGATATGGACTGAGGCCCCAAATTCAAACTCCGAAGCTTTAGACGCAGAAGCCCTGAACCGTCGAGCCGAAGCAGCAAGTTCTCGTCCGTAATCGGCGAACCAGAGACCCAAAACCCCTGCGTATGCCCCCAAGCCTCAAAAAGCCATCCGGCGGAGGCTCGGAAGCTGCTGAAGCAGCTCAGCAAAGAGGACGTCGGTGTGGGTCCCGGAGGTCCCTATGTGGATCTTTCGCTCGATGGCTCTCCCTCTCTCCCTGCCCCTCCTCTGCCTTCCCTCTCTCTCTCTCTCTCTCTCTCTCTCGCTTTCTCTCCCGCTCCGCCGATCAATATACTCCTGCCATGTTTCCGCAGTCTGACCGACATCAGACTGTGCATTATGAATCCATCAGCGTCTCCATTTGTTCAACCTTGTCTTCGTTAGGTGCAGAGGAGGCTGGTGACAAGACAAACGGTGGCAAGGCCCATGCAGCATAGAGAAACATGGGCTACCTTGCATGCAGGCTGACATCCCGTGCCTTCTCATGGCTTGATCTCGGGCGTGTTACAGTTTGCGGGCGAAGCAGGCGAAGGCAGTGTTGGAGAAGTGGCGAGAGCAGGCGGAGAAGCGACAGCAGCAGGACTGCCGAAATGCCATGTCTGGCTGTTCCCCAACCTTAGCTTCCCTGCGCATCTATCCATCGCTTGGATCAACGCGTGCAGGAAATCAAGCGCACGAACTCAATGAAGTCAGCAAAGGCCTGCTGCAAAAGTGCCGCTCTTCTTCCACGAGCATTCACTTGCTGCTCAGCCATTTCGGACGGTGCATTGAGAGCAGGAGAGTGAAAATAGCCCTCCATAAACCGACATCTCCACAACCCAAACCCCAAACTCCAGTCACACCATCCCCTCAAAAGAGCCAAAACCCAGACCCCTGAACTCACAACTTATGACTTACAATAACCTTACTTACGAAGTCCGTGGACCCTCCAAGCAACCCCCAAACCGCCCTGGAAACTTTATAGAGCCTACAGAATCCTGCAGTCACTGCATGTGGTCTCGACCCTGAATGGGAGTTTCCGCAAATTCAGGACCCCAATATAGCACCCTAAATAGCAGCATCCTTATTATCAGGAGCCGAAAATAAGGTACCCCCTAATTTTCGGAAACTCCCAAATCCTAAGCCCAAGTAAGTCTCCTGGTCACCTTTGTCAGGGTCCAGAGGAGCTCCCGGCGGGGTGGACGAAGCATTGGTCAAGTTCGAAGCAGCGGTTCTACTATCATGACGGCAAGACAGGCACGGGGTTTAGTGTATCAAGGCTACTGCTATAAGCTGCTATAAGAGTGCTACTATGAGGGCTGCTGGGCTTGAGTTTCGGATAGTTTCGGATTCCAGGTGCGATTTGGGGCCGGGGCAGGTTTTGTGCCGTGATATGAGCGCCTCTACTACCATAGCAGCAACCCTAAAGTTCGAAACCCAAGCCTTCAAGCGCCTTCTGTTGAAGGCGGATCTCGGAGCAAGGGTTTCAGGTTTCGGGCGAGTTCAGGGTTCTTGGGGTTAAAGCTGGGCACAGGCTCGCACACATCAGGGGAGACATTGCGCGCGCATGGCTCTGCAGGCAAAAACAGCTGGTCCTTCCCGTCGAAAGGCTGAGGTTCGGACCGGAAACAAGCGCGCTGGCATCGTTTGCCCCATTCTTCTGTACCCTTTGCCACTTGTCAACGAATCAATGCAAGAGTTTTGCTGGCTAATTCCTCCATGATCGCTCTCTTGCCACTGCCTAGTTGTTGAACTCCCAACTATATCCTCGCAAGCTCACCCGGCTCCGCTGGAAAATCCAATCACCCCCCGTGTTGTGGGATTTATCAGGCTGTACTCTAAATTTATGGTCATGATCAGAGCAGAACTGCATGTTGTTGGAAAATCTCATCTTGCACCTTACTGGTTGTTCTGTTTTTTGCTTGCGCTTGAGAGAGAAACCGCCCAGCCATGGGCTCCACAGCGTGCGTCCTGGCCCGGCCAAGCCTCTGCTTGCGAGTCTTGCGAGTATTGAGGCGGGCACGTGTGAGCACGATGGCCGCGTAATATGGTCGCTCACAGCACAAACAGTGTGGGAAGCGATTGGGTGGCTGAGGCAGCGAGGCGTCTGCGGTCGGCACGCCAAGCGAGCCCGTGGCGAGGCCACGCAAGTCCGGTCTTCTAGGCCCGTCGTGTGTGGTTTCGGGTCGCACAAGACGTGGCAGGGCTGCAGATGATTGCCGTAAGGGCAGATGAAGGACCAAGGCACGCAGGAACCTCCACACTAGAGCCAGCGAGCTTGCATGCTTGCAGTGGTGTAACATATTATCACTCATGGAGCCGCCTATCGGAGGCTCAAGACTCCCGATGTTTGCTGCATGCAAGCTTTCATGTTCATTACACTCCAGCTATGGTCGCTGCTAGTCCTGGCTGCATCCAAGAGGCAAAGCCCCTCGGAAGGGTCTGTGCTTGAAGCGAATGATATCTGCAAAGCGCGTTGGGACAAGCGCAAGAGTATAGAACGTGATGTGACTGTAGCAGAAGCACACAAAAACATGCAGGTTGCTTACGAGAGGTCGAAGTTTTGTCGCGTTTGGAAGTGGTTGGCCGTCGAAGCGATCTCTAAGTGCTCTGAGGAGGGCTCGCGAGTCCTTGCTGGGCTGATCGAGATGAATGTGGCTGTAGCAAAGGATGTGGCTATGGCAAAAGCTGTCGAGATTGGGACATACAGCTTGTTTGAAGCAGATCCTGGTTGCTTTGCCGGTGGATGGCAGTTTGACGACGCATTGCTCTGATGATGTTTCGATTTGGCACTGCCACGTTGGATGGAGTTTACCTCACTATGCGGCAAGGGACAACCCTGAAATGCTCGGTCTCCTGGAGATGCATGGCTATAACTTAAGCATCGCGGATGCCCACGGATGGACGCCAGCCCACGAAGAAGTGCACATGATGTACAAGCAGCCGGAGCAGCGGTTGAAGTTCTTCCGCGAGCTGGCGGGTAGGGGTGCTCGCTGGCACCTCAGATGTAAGTGTAGTTTGCATAGGAGATCCCTGCATGCACCGTAATGTTACTGCAGCCCCTGTCGCCGCATCTCGCTCCTTGATCAACGGATTCGTTCTGAGGCTTGGATGCTCCAGATGACAGCGGCCGAACCCCTGCTCATGTCGTTTGCATGCAGAATGAATCCAGAGTGAATGTCACTGCAGTCCTAGACACGATTTACTCTTCGCATGGGTCTTTGAGTGCCATTGACAGCCATGGGTCCACACCAGCACATAGGTGCTTGCAGGACCCCAAAGCCATCACGTTCCTTCATGATGTGGTGCCAGAGACCTTTGATGTGAAAAACCGCCAGCGCCGAACTCCAGAGCAACTCGCAGCATTCGAGCGAGCAGCTTCTCTGATAGTCTTCGGCAAGCTCCACGCTCTAAAATGTCGAAGGTTTGACGAGGAAGTTGGCACATCATTTGACTGCGCAGAAGAGTCCACCCGCGTACCAAAGGGCTTTGCCATCATGTCCAAGACTGACTTCTGCAAGGCTGAATGTGCCGTGAAATGTCCCAATCGCAACGCATGCCCAGGGGGAGTGTACCCTGGTAGGGTCTGCGACGACAGCTATGACGCCAAGAGTGTGGGCTGTTCGAGATGTAAATCGGAGTATGGCCGCGGCAACCAAGATCCGTTTGTTTGCAGCAAGTGCCGACCTTCATGGCAGATGTGGATTGTGCACGTGCTCAAGCCAGTTGGCATCTATGTCGTGAGCATCCGGTCGGCGAAGGCAAACCGGGACTATCAGAGCGTCCTGTTGAAGATGCTGTTGTCCTTCGGCACCGTCGCCTCATCCATCTGGCCTTCCGTGAAGAATTCTGGAGCATATCAGCATGCGCTCCCCGGTGTGCAGCTTGCAGCTGACGCAGGCTCGTCTGATTCAAACTGTTCAGCGCTTTGACGTCAACCTGCGGTCTCGTGCTGTTTCCCGCACCTCTCAAGTGATAGCAGCAAAGGCATGAGGTATGAGGGTTTCAATGGGACTCATGCAGGTGACGCATCTACGTCGGCAACGACCCAGTGGCACGGCCCAAGCCTGGACTGCCTACTTGGAGTTCCTCATGCACCAATGTGGCAGTGGCTGTGTTTGTCAACATGCGTACCCTTCTGCCTCATACTTGTCTCCGTTAGCATCGTTTGCGTGGGGTCCTTGCGAGCTGGGGTTCAGTTCAATCTACAGCTGCTCCACAAACTCATGAAGCCGTATGCAATTTTCATCAACTGCTTCCTGCCAGACCTGCTGGGTGCTGTCGTGCGATATGTGCCGTGCATGCACTTCCAAGAGGGAGACCGTGCAAGGTTTGCAATCTACGATGTGACTTCAGCTTGTCCTTGGGAGCTCTACAGATACACCATCCTTGTCGCTGCAGTACTGCTCGGGGCGGTTGTTGGGCCCGTGTTATGGGCGGCCGTGATCAAGCGCTCCTCAACGTGGCAGCCAGAGGAGCGTCGCGAGGTGGTGGGCTTCTTGACATCCGGGTACCAGGACCCTCAGGGTTGAAGGAAGTAGCCGTCGCAGTGTAGGATTGCAGGACCCTCCCTCTCCCTCTGCTATGAAAGGAGGCTTGGGAATGGTGGGAGGCTGGAGTGCTCACTCGCAAGTGCCTGCTTTTGATGGCAGCCTCCCTCTTTCCGATGAGCTACTGCCCATTCCTCTTTCTAACCTCCCTTCTGGTCATCATGGGTACGAGTCTGACCTTGCACGCGCTGGCATGGCCATATTGCAGCGTTGTCCTCAACCAGCTGGAGCTCGCTGTGCTGACTTCCTCCACTATCGCGATCCTCTGTGCCATGGTCCTCACGCTTCAGCAGATTGAGTGGACCTTGGACAACAGCATCACATTCCCGGCTTTGGCAACCGCACTGCTCCTGCTCCAGTCTCCCTTCATAGTGCTTGTTTCTCTTCTCCTGTACGAAGTCAGGAACAAAGGTGCAATGATCCAAAGTGGGTTCCGCACTTTTTCTGAACAATGCTGCGTTCGGGAATCGAATGCCATCACATGATCAGTCTATGAACAGCAGCAGCGATATCCATGACCTGCAGCTGGTTTGTGATACTTGTGGCCGATGCCAGTTCAACTAAAACAGCACTGCCAGGCTTTCTGGCATCATGTGCTGTGAGGGGTAACCCCGACACATAAGCGGCGCCTGCGCTGACAGTAGATCGTCTTCGGTCGCTGATGAAAAATGCCGCAGAAACCACGTGACTCCCCTGAACAATGGACCAAGACTGTCCTTCTGTGCAGGCCGGTCTCCTTGACCTCCGTGATCTGCAGGCATAAGACCAGCTTGCTGCAAAGTTGTGCCGCCAGGCTCCAGCAAAGCTGGATTCGCAGAGTGGAGGTACCTCTAGAACTGCTAGCAGCGTTTACGCGTTGGCATGCAGGGTGTTCAAATGCTACTGGCCCTTTGCAGAACCGTCCGCCCGATTCGATGTAGATATTGCATCCAGATCACACGCGAACCCGACCCACTCGATAAGAGCTCCAGAGCCACTATCCTGTATCGTCCAAACTGTCTGTTCGACTGTGGTCCATCAATTAATTTCATGCGGCGATTGGTGCTTGCCTAAAGCAGCGTCTTTAGATTCGAGTGAGAACGACGACTCGTCCAAAATGAATGTGAGTTTGCGGACATGCCTGCTTTCCGAAGTAAAAGCAACATCAGGGCTGTCAAGCAGAGCTGGAAATTGGCAGAAGGTTTCGGCGACCATTGCAATCAAGTTGGCCGTGTGCTTCACGATGAAAGTACTCTCTTCAGCTGCAGCTGTTGACCTCGTGATGCGTGGATGTTTCTGGCATGCTTGACGGTCTGAGCACGGAGTGATGTTAACTTAAATCTTGTTGCTTTTCCGAGAAATGGCTGTAGGTGTGCAGTTGAGGGTGCAGTCGGCGGCATGAAGTCAAGCTCTCACCAAAAGCCACTACTCACAAGGAGCCCACGATGCACTCCCTATCGCTCCCTTTAGCCCTCAGTACAGATCCTACGTTTCATGTCGTTCCATGCCATGTCGCATTTTCGCTTGGCGCAGAAGTTCACGCTGGGCACATGGGTGTTTCGGCGAAACAGCAACTGACGTTTCAAATTTCAGCGCAGCTTTCTTCTCTTGTCTCATGCAGCCTCGTTTCACGCAGTACAGGATATTGCGGAGAGATAGGTATCCTTAGACCCCCAAGACATCGTGGAGCAGAGAGGTACCAACACTGCTTGATTAGGAGAAGCTTCAAAGCACCCAGGGCTATAGGTAGAGGAAGAATATGGCACATGTAACAGAATCAAACATCCGAGTGCAGAGCTCAGACATACACTAGGTCACTTTACCGTCTGGCGCCCGCATTTGTGGTGTCATAGGTCATGTTACATTGCTTTCCGTCACAGCATGCACGCAGGTTTGCAACAAGTTCATGTACGAATTCGTGAAGGTACCAGCTCAATACCTGGTAAGATGGCAAGAGACGAACGCTGCTCACGCCTTTGAAAACAGGCTCTGGCTCAAGCAGTCGTTAAGAGATGTTAAGAGCCCCCAAGAAACGGCGTGGTGCACAACGCATGTGTTAAGGGCCTGCTGCTTTCCACATGTCTGTTGAGACTATCACTTGATGCGTGTTGAATTGATTTTGTCCTGGAATTAGCCGTGCTGCACGCAGTGTGGTAGAGCATGTCAACTGCGTAATCAGTAGAGCATGAATCTCCCTGTAAAGTAAAAGTTTCTTCGTCATGCGGAATTTCATCTTTTTTGCACCGTTCAAGAATTGGGTCAATGGGATTTGGACCACTTCTGGAGGTCCACTTCTTTGGTTCTGTTGCCGGAGAACCGGCATGCGTCTGCTTCCGTAAGCCCAAGGTGACCGTGGCCGAAGATCGGCGACGCGCGATCGGGAAGAATGTGTCCGGGACACCTGTCTCCTGGCATGCAGCAGCTTTGTGCTGCTCTAGTTCTTAGGACATGATTAGATTGTGTTGCGTCGACCTCTTGCGGCCTGACACACTTCAGCTTGTCAGCCTACGAAATTCTTTGTTTTACTACTGCCCGTGCTAAAGCACTACCCTACACTTTTCGGGACTTCAGTTCCAGCCCTAGAGCTGGATTTGCCATACAGTGAATTCCCTGCATAAGAACCCCATGCTGCAAGAGTAGCCTACCCTAAGGCTCCTAGGTTCCGTTACCTCTGGTTTTGCCGGCTGAGCGGTTAGGGCAGGCTGAGGTTCTTAACTGCGTTCTTGTCTAGACACAGCATGTACTTTGAGCCACAATGGCCGCCCTGTCTACTCTTACCTGCCCGTTCATCGTCATGCAGGAGTTGGACGCGCGGTCTGCACCTTGCTACAGCAATGCATACTGGCATAGTAGTCTCCGTCCAGAGGCTAAGCATCCTTCAGCCTTAACTAGGCCCCGAACACCCTGCCTGAGGCTCTAATCAGTGCGGTCTCCTCTCAAGACGGTTGCGCGCTCGCGAGTTTCAGGAAGTCTCAAGCTTACGGTTTAGAGTTCTAGGGCTTTGTTTAGGGTTTGAAGTTTAGGGAAGGACCTAAAGTCTGGGGTTTGAGGTTGAGGGCTTGGGGTTCAGTTCACCTTGAGTTAGTGCTTGTCACAGCACGCCTGGGTTTTGTCACCAAACAGCAAGCACTCCAACTGTTTGTTTGCAGATCATGTTTCACAGTGATATGTCATGCAAAGGTAGTTCTAGGTCGGTTGCCAGAATTGTCGCCGGCTGTACACCGCTGCTTGAAGTAGCTTCGCTCGGCTGATGTGTGAAGTGCACGCAAGATGTCTTCCGATGTTTGACTGGTAGTTGCGCTACAGGCGTAGGCAGGATCGATTAAAGAGGCAGTGTGGCACACATAATAAGTATTTGTGCACATAGCACGCTTATCGGACGGAGGGACAAAGAAAGATGCCCTGTGGAGGAAATTAGTTGTACATGCCGCGCCGTAGAGTCGTCTTCATTCGTGTGACTACCGTCGGTAACCGACAGTAACGACAGGAAACACTACTCCAACTCTAACAATGACGTCGCCTAAATTGCCAGGTGCGACGATTCTGTATCCAGACCTGCTGGCTTTTGGAAGCCGTGGCTACTTCCGAGAGGAGCCCTTGATTGGTGAGTTAGGCCTGCTGTCGATAATCTCATAGCGCAACATGTTGTAGCGTAGTACACTAAGCAACTAGGTCGAGGAAGCAGCGTGTAGAGAAGGAGATCCGGAAGGTTTTCCTGGCATTGCCTCCAAGTGTAACCCACCTTTCCTCCTTTGGCGAAAACGGTTGAAGCCTGGTGAACCGTACAGATTAGAATACAGGAAACAGACGAAGGAGAGAAACATCCCGAGGTTCTCTAGTTTTTGCGTTTTCACCACAGCCCCTCAATAATTCAGCATCAGAGACCCGTCAGCCACCCGATATCTTTAGGTAGGCCAGGAGACTTGAAGGTGTGTCCCGCTTGAAGCTTCTGCAAAATTCTTCCTTTTCTAAATGAATACCACATTGCCCATCGTACTAGTTTTTGTGGTCAAAGCTATCCTCCCGCCAACCAAAACAACGGCCACCAGACTCGTCAGCTTTCCTATTCTGGAGTTCCGTGTTTGTACCTTGTTTTCTCCTCTTTCGTTCCGTTCCCTGTGGCCCATTGTGTACACTCGGATCTGGCCGCGGGTGTGCAGGAGAATGTGCCGCTGAGCAAGCTTCGGCACCACGAAGGGCCAGTAAAGGCCGACATTTGCAGGGCTCTCCGGGTAAGTGCTTGAATTGTCTGAGTCTTCAATTCGAGACCTTGTCTTCTCGGAATTCGCCCTTGCTTGTTTTGGTTGTTTAGACCATTAAACCCTGTTACTTTGGTGGTGCTGGGTGAGGACATCAGGCTCAGACTGCAGGGCTCTGTGCCATGAACACAAGTATATAGCGGCAAAACAGCAACAGAAAGACGCGGCGGGCACTTACATCAGTGGTGGTATAAATAATGGTAGAGCGGGTAGTCTGTACATATACACACGTGGCAGCAGCTCGGCTGATGAGTCGATTCAACGAAGAATAAGGATCTCCTACCAGCTCAATAAGTCTAATAATTAAAGGGCCTTGATAAGTTGAGTAGGGTCTTGGCGTATATGATGCCAACAATATTTCTACAAGGAAGCCCCCAAAATAGTATTGATTTTGTTTAGGTCCCTACAGTAGGATGCCAATGAGTCTAAGGTGCCAAGTCGTTAACTAGGTGTGCTTGCTGCTGACACTGGGCTCTAAAGCTAAATTCGTTCCTACCCCATGATGCAATGACGCAACACGCACACGTCATATGGCGGCTTCAGTAGCCCAAGTCATAGGACCATGGCAGAAATTCATCATCCTTCGTCATTATTCTCTCATCGAAGCAAGTGCATCTCTGCAGCCAGATTGCAATGTCTAGTCCACAGCTTTTGAGCTCAGGGTTACCAGAATAGTTTTCCGATGTAGGGTAGGACCATGGGGGCCGCGGCTTCCATTTTGGGCCGGGGCAGGGTACAGTTCTTGCATGCCAGGTGGTCGAGAAGAAGCTCATCCAGGCAGGCCCCGAAGGATTTAGGATATAAGAACCCTAAGACCTAAGCTCTATAGATTTGTCTGAAGGTTTCGGGGTTTAGAAACTAGAGGTTATGGATGAACTCTCCCAGAAACCCAACCTTTGCAGGCCCTGACATAGGAGCCGTACTAATGAGGATGTTCCTTTATAGCCCCTAGAAAATTCGCCCGACATATACGCCAGACCCCTCTTCTGATTTTAAGGTAGTTACTATATAGTACATCGAGCTTATCACAGTGCCAACATGACCCTGCAATCCGGAACTTGGAAGAACGTGGATTTCAACAAGTTTGGGGCGTAGCTTTTATGAGGGAGCCTGACCGGATGTGATGCCCAACGAGGCGCTTCGAGAAGAGCGAAGGGACATGCGGGAGAAGAAGAACGCCATCGGTGAAGATGCTGAAAGGTGCCGCTTAGGGTTTAAGGATACCCGTCCAGCCTGCCACCCTTCTTGCATGAGCTTTAACCACTAAAGCCCTAAACCCTAGATCGGAAAGCCAAAAACCTAATCCCGAAAAACCCCCAAGGCCTGAAGCCTCTGTTCAAGGCAGCTACAGCTGCAGCTGCCAGGGATGAAGCGCAAGCGCTCTCCGGAACCGGAGGCGCCGGGAATATGGGCAAGCCATCTTTTCGTAGGCTACATATGGGTTTAGGGTTTAGGGGTTTATAGAGGAAGAGGTTCAGGGATTTAGCAAACAGGGCAAACAATGTGCTGTGAGAAAGGCCATGAGACTGAGAGTGCGAGTGCAACCACCCTGCCACTCAAGCTCGCGATCCAGCCAGGCATGTTCATCTTCGAGCGTCGTATACCCTAAACATCCCTAAACCCTAAAGTCTAAACCCCAAACCCTAACTCTTGAGCATCTTCGAGCGTCGTATACCCTAAACATCCCTAAACCCTACAGTCTAAACCCCAAACCCTAACTCTTGAGCCCTAAACCCTAAACTCTAAACCCCTAACCCCCTAAACCTTGAAGAATCTTTATCGGCTCCTTCAGGCACGATGCGAGGCTCCAGAGCGGGAGTGCAACCTATCTCCTGCAACACCGATGCAGGTTGGAGTGCCGAAACTATCAAAATACGAATAATGACAATACTAAGAATGCCAATAATACGAATCATAGTAACAATACAAACAGTCATAACTATAGCTATGACTATAGCAGTAGCAATACCAATGGCATTAAGGTAGGGACTGTCGCTGGGGTTGTTGATCGCGGTTCGGTTAGGGTTCAAGGCTTTGAGAGCAGTTTGGTATGTCATCAAACCCTTCAGCGCTTTGGGGGCGCTTTGCTTGCCGACTTGCTCCAGTTTAGGGTTCAGGGAGCAAGCTTTGTCGAGATTGAGTGCGAGCACGTGCAGAGTTCGATTGATTGCGCTCTGATCATCTGATACTGCCGGGAAGACGTGTTGGAGTGAACTTTGTGCCTATCGGATTCTTGTGGGGCTTATACTCTCTCTCGCTATGCATATCTCTACTTGCAAATAGACAAAAATAGATTTGCATGTATATATATATACACAGATGCATATATATATATATACACATATATATATATATACATATATATATACATATAGATATGAATCGTCTCTCGCAAGGATCAGCCCGAGGAGCACATCACGACTCCCGAGAAGAAGGCACACACGACGCCGCGGATCACACCGGAGAAGACCCCCAGGCCGACGGAGGCGCGGTTCATTTAGGGGCCCAAAGACTTACCAGTACGTACTATTTTGGAGGTTTAGGGGCTTAAATATTCATTAAAGAAGGCGCCTAAAGAATTACCAACACTACCCTGGGGATCCTTACTAAACTAATAATTGGTACAGCACAGTATGATAGGGACCTAGATAGCTGCCAATACTATTTTTTGGGGTTCCTTGTCAGAATGATAGTATGGTGGCCCCAAAAGCTTTTTCCAACTACATATTCAGGCCCCTTCTTTATTCCGAGAGGGCACAGTCATGGTGGTTGCAGGCTTCCTCTGTGCCAGAAGATTCCGGTGCTTCTATGGGCAAAAACACTGTGGGGCAAAAAAGCAAGTACGGTCATCGATGCGGGAACTGAGCCTCTAGCGATCATGGAGCTTCGAAGAGGGCTCATCGTCCGCCTAGTCCGTGTTGCCTTGTAGTGGCAGAATATAGTATTGTGGTGCTATAGTACCACAGTAAGATAGTTTTTACAGTATCATGGTCTGAAGTTTCTGCATCAAAAAGCTCACTAACTCAGCTTCGCTATGAGTGCCGACAGGCAGATCACGCAAGTCCACTTACAGCGGAGACCACGGCCGCTAAGATGCATTTTGACAGCGTCAGATTTCTCTGTGCCGCATCCTCTGCAGAATTCCAAGCCGAAGAGTTTGCCCAAACATTCCGAAGCTCCTAATCAATTGTAAGCCTCGTAAGCGTTCAGTGTCGGCCCGAACTGGCAAGTATTCTTGAAAGGGGACAGATTCCAAAGCAAAACTGCTCAAGAGTCTTTCCCTTGCTTGCAGCATCATAACGGGTCAAGCAGGCTGCTGTCGCAGGACATGGGAAACATCAAGAAGTAGATGGCACCACGAGACCTTCTCTACCCTCTTCCGTATTACATATAAACCCGAAAACCTATACAAGGCTGCCTGGTTGACAGTTGGTTCATACTTAGCAGGTCTTTCGAATCGCCAATGTTGCCCCTATTGCAGCTTGCTAGTGGATGTTGACTTACTTGGGGAGGCTGGGGAGGCCGGCCAGAAGGGCCGGAAATTGGGTCATATTTTGGCATGTGCAGCTGGGCCCTGGGCCTTTTCCTGGGCCTTCTGACTTTCTCGCCTCCTGGGCCGACCACTGAAAAGTAATGCGGCCAGGGCAGCCCCAAGCCCTCAGTGCGAAGCTCCCGCTGAACGAAGGCCGTCGTTGTTCGAGCCATCTCGAAAGCCTTCAGAAGCGCAGGACATGGGCTCAGGGTTCAGGGTTTGGGGGTCCAGGAATTTGGGTTTAGGTGCTGTTCAGGGTTCGGGTTTCAGGATCCGGGGTCTATAGGATTGGGATCGAGGATTTTGGGTTTAGCACTTCGGGCTGAACTTCGAGGGTCTAAAAGTTCGGGGGCTGATGATCGACTTCGCACATGCTTGTGGAAGATTTAGCTGGCAGGTCATGCAAACTCAGCTAGGACCACTGCTGGCAGTTGTTCTGGATTGGTATTTCCACGAGGTACCGACATGTAGTCGTTCCGCTGACCCTGCAGGCACGCAGGTCCTGACACTCCCAGCAATCGACAAGGTCGTCAAGGACTTCTGCTGGGCAGGTGCATTTTCCTTAGGCTGGATGAACCATTGATGCTGTACTGCCTTTCAGCGTCCAGGCGGTCTGTAGTGGGTGCTGTGTGAGCCGTGGTGGTGCTTCTGGTGTGCAAGATGAGGGTCATGATTCTTTCGGATGAGGATGAGGATGAAAACAGAGGATACGGGATCGTTACAAATAGTGAGCCTGGAAATTCACAATGGCAAGTTAGTTGTTCGACTAGGGCTGTCGTTGTCAAGACGCAGCAGGGTGAAGTGTCCTGTAGATCCTGGCTTGCGCCAGTTCGGGTTACGAATGATCCTTTTAGGAACCGGGGCTTGTTCATCGGGCTTCGTGTCACAGAGCTTGAGGAAGCCACCACTTGGCAGCTTCTAAAATTCAAGTGACATGCTGCTTCCCGCCGTAGGCATCAACTTGAATTGTCCCTGTCAGTAGTTGGCAGTTTAGATGCCTGAAGTTCGCGACCATTTGATGAGGGCTCGGAGTTGAAGCATGGTTTCTTCAACCTCCTGCACAAAGCAGCCCACGTAAAGAAGTCCTTTTCGATGGCAACCGGCCCCGGCCTGGCTGCAATCTGAGACCCTGCCACCGTGAGGAGCTGGGGCTCGGATCATCCACTCAGGAGGTTTTAGCAACCCGGCTTTTTGAGCGGGTAAGGTCTGCCTCGTCTTGGGATGGTGATGGTGTTGCTGATTGGATGATGATGCATAACTGTCGTTGTTGATGATGGTCTGGTGATGGATTGATGGTGATGGTCCTGCTGAGGATGATGACGAGAAGAGGGCTGTATGATATTACACTGGCACAGCAGATGCTACCATTTCGGCGTTCTTGCACTGCTGTGCTTGCTGCAGACATCTCAGCTTCACAATTGTGCTCTGCCTGTCATGAAGCCATGGGAATCCGCCTCTGCGAGGAAGCCCGGCCCTGGCTTTCTCGTGCTATGGGCAAATCTCATGGCGATGCATCTCGCATGTGGCGGAGGTTCATTTTGCTTGGGACGCTACTCCGTGATACACGAGGCAAGCTGCGCCTGCGGCCAACCTCCAAGATGTAGCCTTGCACTGCGGTGTGAGGAAAAGCACTCTCAGGCTAAAGGGCTTGATCCCAAGCTTCTGACAGCCAGGATCTTCAAAGCCAAGTCTGCAGCTAGACTGCTCAAACTGATTGGCCAGGAAGTCGACAGCAAAGTGTTCGATCATATCCACCTGGCAGCAGCGTTTTCCCGACTGGCCAAGCTCGGCCAAACGCGTCAGCTCATGATGACAGACGTGGGTAGCCTTGTGTGGGCAAGGATGGTGGCACGGCTGCACAGCATGCTGAGGGAAGACACGCTCGGCGCACGTGCTGCAGTCAATATTTTCTGGGCGCATGGCAAGTTGCACCAGGAACTCGAAGCTTTGCAACGCGCAGTGCCAGAGATGTTAACCGCTTTGGGTGCAACGGCAGCGCTCATTGCTGACAAGGTAGAGGAGATGACTCCCCAAGAGCTTTCGATCAGTCTCTGGGCAGCTGCAAGATTGCAAGATACGGCCCCGGAAGTAAACACCGCCGTGCCAGCTATTGCAGCTTGTATTCTTCACCAGGCAGGCGACATGACCGGTCAAGACTTGTCGAACAGTTTGTGGGCAGTTGCCAAGTTGCAGGATACAGTCCCAACGGTCCTTGTGACGATGCAAGCCCTTGTGACGTGCATTCCTTCAAAGATATCGGGCATGCAGCCAGAAGGGTTGCGAATGTCCTTGTGGGCTGCTGCAGAGCTTGGAGAAGATGGACTAGCAAATCATCTCAAGCGAGAGCTGGCTCGGCGCAATCTGCACTAGGGTTTGCTCTATACGCAGGTCAGGGGTCCTACTGAGGTCATCTTCAGGATTGATGCTCTTCAGGCACTAACGACGATGCAAGCACATTTCCCAATCCCTAATTGTAGTTATGCGCTCTCGATGTGATCCTTACAAGTGCCCCTTCCACGTTTTGGTATTGGAGTCATGGAGGGCGGCACGCAGTCCCTGCAACGTTGCAGCTCTTCTCGGGAGCTGTTTGTTTCAGCCTTGGCTGGTCTGCATTGTTCTGCATGGCCCTGCACCGACTGGGCACAGTGCTCTTTCTCAGATGCACGGTCTTGGCCTGAGTGCACCGCCATGTGTAGAGAATTAGGAGCCCGCGTGGCACTGACAAGATAGGATGGGACCCGTGACAAAAGAAGTGATTATGGCTACTTGGAGGCAGCTCTGCTTGCACGTACCTGTAACTCGACATGCCAGGGAAGGGAACATGATACTTGTCTCCCAGCGACGTCCTTCTTAAGACGGAGACTCCAAACTTGTGGACAGTACTTGAGAATTGGATTGGGTTCACGTGGTGCTTGTTTCAGTGCTGATGAATCCATCAGCACCTTATAGGACAGGATTGTAGACCACTCGCTCAACGAAATTGTGCATGGAATTTGTTAAAGTTTGAAGACATGGTGGTGCGAAGCTCGGTATGATCAGGATGGCAGCGCCAAACACACGTGGGCCGACTAGAAGCATTTCTCAAAGTTAGGTGGATTTCATATGCCACCAGAATAATGTCCATCCCGACACGTGCTCTGCCAGTTGCGACCAGTACAAGCTGAAGTTCTCTAAGTCAACCCAAACCCAGAAACCCAGACGTAAACTCTGATTTTTATGAGCTCCTAAACTGTACACCGCTAGGTTGGGTTGCAGCCAAGCTATGACCGTCAAGTATTCGTGTAGCGAACGTATCTTTCCCATTCTACATAAGACCATCCCGAGACCCCTAACCCCTCTAGCCTGAGACCCCACACCCTAAGCACCCAAACCCTCGTTGGCACTGTGACGGTACCATGGACACCTACCATGAAGATGACAAAGATAATGTGTGTGAGACTAGTTCTTTTTGCTTCTTCAACTCGACTGACTGTTCCGACAATGGGTATTGAAATAGCTACAGGTATGTTGTTCATGATAAGTAGAATATCGGGTACGCTGATAGGGGGTGGTGGGTGATATACCTATAGCTGCCTTACCTTCATACCCCCACTTACATCTGCCCATGAACCTACAACACATAGCAGGCCACACCCTGTGCCAGACACGTTGCCACGCAACTCAGGACAAGCTCGAAAGCCAGAACAAGGTGATGGACACTTGGCCAAGAATCAGGTTTCGTGAGCGCATTCTCTTCCACCACCATACCCTTAGCCCTATACCCCCCATGCGGTTATGGACTCCTTAAACGGGCCACACGAGAAGTGCATGCGCCAAGTTGCAACAGGCACGGCCGTGTCTCTTTCAGTGTATGTGGGATTGATTCAAATTACGGCCCCTCTTGGGAATGTTGGGGTTCTCAAACCCCTTTGAGAATAGAACGCTGTTCAAATGTCCAGCCCTTGTCACTGCTGCCTAATGATCTCCAAGAGGTTTCCCAGGCCTTGGACGCGCATGTACACTTCATGATATTTACGATGTCCACAAGATTTCGAATTTTGGGTCGGAAGTTTCCTGGAGAAGATGAAGTGTAGATGCCAATCTGCTTCAAGCTGCGGCATGTTACCACCGAGGTTACGGATGATCTTTGCTTCTGCATCGCCTGAGCGCATGAGAGCTGCCATCGTCAAGTCTCCGTGCTGTGTGCACACAAGCTAGGTTTTTTCAAGTATGTCGGGACAGTATCGTCTGAGCTCTCAGGGC